TCCCTTGAAATGGTTGATCAAAAAATCCCTTTTATTTCTAGCTTAGGAAATGTACTCTCAGCTTCACAACTTGTTAGATTTGTCAAATTTGGGGACTCTTTTTTCAGGTTTATTTCAAATATGAGATACAAGGTTTTGATGGATTTTCTGTAGACTAACTCTGGCTTTATACATTTCACAAGTTATTTCTCCTCCACTCATGGGACTGAGCATCATGGTCAGTCCTCCAATCCTTCCCACTGTCATCAGCTGCTGAGTGAATTTGCACAGCAGGCACCAGGGCATTCCTGGAGGCCATTCCTATGCTGAGATGGTAGCAATAACTCAACTATACAGGAAAAGGGTTGTGAGCTACATAAACTTATCCAACTAAATGTATAAATTAATACACAAATGTGCCATTTCCAATAAACACATGCATGTAATATCTGTATATTAGCTTATTATTGTTGTGTAACAAATTTAGCAGGTTAAAATGACATACAATTATAATCTCAAGGTTTCCATGGGTCAGGAATCTGGGCACAACTTAGCTGGGTCCTTCTCTGCTTAGAGTCTCAGAAGGCTGCACTCAAAATGTCATCCAGGACCGCGTTCTCATCAGAGGCTCACCTGGGGAAAAGTCTACTTCCAAGAACTTTCAGATTATGGGCAGAATTTATTTCCTTGCAGCTGTGGGACTTACGGCAGCCTGCCTCTCCCAAGACAGTCATGTAGAGGCTCTAGCAAGACAAATGTTATACTCTTACGGAATCACATACATGTAATCATTTTCATTCCATCTCCCTTTTTTGCAATCCATTGGTCAGAAGCAAGTCACATGTTCTGCCCATATGATGGGAAGGGAATTATAAAAAGGCATGAACACCAGGAGGTGACGATCATGGGGCTGCTTTCAAGGCTGTCCCCCACAGTCTCTTAAAGAATAAATACAGAAAAAATATAAAGTGATACATGCCATATTAACAAACATTTTAATGAGTTCCAAATAATTTGCATCTATCAGTAAGTTTCAATGACTCTATGAGGTAATGTATGTCTACTTTCTACATTGGCAAATGAGAATTTCAACTTTTTCAGATTCCCAAGCCAGCTAATTGAGCTAGAACTTGGGTTTGTCAAACTTCATCTTCTTCTAGTTTATTGCTTTATGAAATAGCTTCCTCTAGAAATACAAAAGATCAAAAGTTAAAACTTTTGTTCTTTGAGGTAGTTGTTAAGTACAGGAATTACTCAATACATATCTTTTAAGCATAACCTAATTATTTAGAATTAATTAGCTCCCTAGTTACCATTTGTATACAATTAAAATACATTTTCATCTTGACATTTCTTGATATCTCATCAAGTCTTCAGATTTATAAACCCAAAGATTTTATGAAATTTGTGCCATTTTTCTTTTACAGGTACTTGAGGTTGCTCTTCTCACTTAGTACACATCTGAGTTTTCTAAAGACCCATCTAAAGATATTCATCTTTAATTTATCCGAGAAAAGGAGCAAGAATACTTCATGACCTTAAGAGTATGTTTATATTGGCACTAGTGGCTAAGCTATAACTTGTCTAATTCCAATGGCCCCGTGTATTTTTTCTTTGCTCTCATTCTTCACTAGGAACCAAAATATAAGCATTCCTTGTTATTATAGGCTTTATCCTCTACACAAATATGCCCTTGGATTAAAAGACCATGTTCCTAGAGCAGAGAAAATACAGATGTTTTCACTTGCCCGTTTACATCACTCCACACAGCAATGATACTAGCCTTTTAGTAGTATATGCCACATTAGCAATCTGAGCGTTTTTGAATCAAAGCTGAAATTTGTAGTGCCTCTAATGTGTAATGAAGTTGCACATTTTTACCATGCATTCACTCAAGCATATGGGTTTTATAATTGAACTCAAGAGATTGTATTTTGGATTCACTTCTGCTCTAATAAAAATGTACACATACCAATGCTTCTGTTCCCATTTGGAAACACAATTTGATACAGTTTGGTCATCTGTTATAAAGTATAGATATGCTTTCATTCTTCTGTTGAAAAAATAAAACCATGATGACTTAATTATGTAAAATAGCATTACTAAATAGCAAATAGTTTATATTATATTTGCATATGGGCATTTAAAAAAATTACATGATGATATGAATTACCAGGGCCCAGAACAAATATCATTGGAACAAATATGCTTACTTTTGAGGAGACATGGAATTTAAAAGCATTGGCTTAGTTCTAATGTTATTGCTCTTAATCAACCAAGCTTTTAAATAAATGTTCACATTTATATGACTGTTTAGATTGTGGATTTTAAGAATGCTCAAATTACGTTCAAAAGCAAGTATTTCCAGATATTGCTCAAGACCTTACTTTTGAAATATGCTTTTTTTTATTGTACTTGAATGTAGTTGAATCACATCTACCACAAGAGAAGTAGTCAGAAAATTCATTACAATTTTTTAGAGTGCTTTTAAAGATTTAAATTAAAGTTAGATCTTTGGATAAGTTCAAACTTAATGGTTGTCATCTGTGTACAGTGTAGTTTCAAGGCTTATAATAACATAATTTAAATTTAAAGTTTTCGCATTTACTCCTCTGCCATAATGTAGAGCTGTTTATGTATATTTTTCTCACTTCTAATCATTCCATTAATGGAGGTATTGTAATAATATTCTTTTAATCAAGTAAAAGAAATGAATGCTAAAATGATCAAAAGTATTAAATGAACATTTTAAATTTAAAATTACATCCTAGAAAGTTGTTTTTAAGACATAATGATAATTCACTAGGAAATGAATAGAGTATGTATTTGTTCTTTCAAGGTGAGAACATAATAATCACTAAAATTTATTGGGCATTTTCTTCTCTAAGTATTCATTTCAGTGTGTTAACTTCTCTATCTGTTAACTTACTATACCATCACAACCACTTGATAAGAGAAGTGCCATTATTTTTCTAATTTTACAAAAGAGGAAACTGAGACACAGAGAAGCTAAATCAGTAAGAGGTAAAGCTGAGAGTTTCCAGATTAAGAAGCCTGCTCTCAGTGATTAACCCATGCCCTCTTGAAAAAGTCAGCATAGACTTGATATAGTCTCCTACTGACAACTTGGTCACTGTCTTCTTAAGAAAGTGTTTCTGGGCCGGGCGCGGTGGCTCAAGCCTGTAATCCCAGCATTTTGGGAGGCCGAGGCGGGTGGATCACGAGGTCAAGAGATCGAGACCATCCTGGTCAACATGGTGAAACCCCGTCTCTACTAAAAATACGAAAAATCAGCTGGGCATGGTGGCGCGTGCCTGTAGTCCCAGCTACTCAGGAGGCTGAGGCAGGAGAATTGCTTGAACCCAGGAGGCGGAGGTTGCGGTAGCCGAGATCGCGCCATTGCACTCCAGCCTGGGTAACAAGAGCGAAACTCCGTCTCAAAAAAAAAAAAAAAAAAAAAAAAAAAGAAAGTGTTTCTTTGAAGTGAAAGTATAAAATTCATATTTTGTCTTATCTGTTACTGAATTACATGAAAATGTATAATAAACATCTAAAGTCTACTCTACATTGTCCACTGTGTCAGAGAGACCCTTCTCAGATGATTCAGTCATTTAAAACCAACAGTAATATCTTTTGTTTGGAAATTAAGCAACAGAAAGGAATTCAAACAGTCAAGCTAAGTAAAGTCATTTTTTAAATGAAAATATATTCATGGTTATGCTACCAAGTTAAGCCAAATCGGTTTTGGAGGGACGATGGGGGGTGGGGAGCTGGGGAGAGATAGCAAGGCGAGAAATGCCAGATATAGGTGATGGGGAGGAAGGCAGCAAATCACACTGCCACGTGTGTACCTATGCAACAATTTTGCATGTTCTTCACATGTACCCCAAAACCTAAAATGCAATAAAATAAATCAATGGGGAAAAAAAATCTTAATAGGATTAAAAATTGTCCACATCCGCATATGAAGGCTGGATGCTAGAAGATAATAAAATGGCATGTTCAAAATTCCAGTTGAAATGATTTTCAATCTGAAATTTTAAGCTCAGCTGAGCTATCAATCAAGTGGGTAGAAAAAGGCACAACCCTTTAGCAAGTTGAAATGTGATAAAATGTATTCAGGATCCACTTCCCCCACAAATTGTGAGTGATCATTTCTCTTTATTAAGCATTCTATTTTCATTAGACTCTATGGTGTTCAAGGGATGCAACTTTAATTTTTAGTTGTCCTGCATGCTGTCCGCATAAAGTACACATTAATGAATAGTTTTTGAATAAATGAACTCTGCTCTACTTTAAATCATGATTATTTGAAGTACTGCATATAATAGTGTTGCTTTGACATATGAAAGTAACTTATTTCTTTATTTGCCATATCTTGATACTATATTTATTATTTACTCACAGATATTTCTTTCTTCATGATCTGGGTCTATTTAGAGATAAAGATCTTTCATCTTGTTATTCTCTCATTTGATCCAACAGTCTAAAGGATTTAGTTACTTGAATATTTAGGAAGAAGAGTAGAAGATGTGGCTCACATTTATTATAACAAAATATTTTTCAGAGCCATTCATGATGATGTTGACCTCATAAAACCAACTGCCAATAAAAGACATGATTTGAAAAAAAAATTATATTTTAATTTATATTACATTTTAAATTCCATAAAAAAAAATTTTAAGGTTTTTTTCCCTTGTCCTCTCTCCCAGAATGCTTAATATACATTAGGCATCTTACAAAGAGTTATTGGTTGATTCTGAATATTTTTTATTCCATTAAGGGTGTTTATTTATCCTCAGTTCACCTCTTTCCAAAAAAGATTTAAAGTGGGTCTTAGAAAGCTGAAGTTTAGAGATGGATAAATGTTTTGAGAAGATGAAAATGGAAAATTTAAAGAGAAACAAATGTGCCTAATTTAAAATATTCTAGATGCTGTTTTGAAGCTGTATTTTGTTATGTCCAAATAGTGTTGTTTTGATGCAGTTACCTGGTGTCATTCTCCTCTAAGAATTCTCCTGTTTGTTTGTTGAGTGGAAATGGTGTGACCCTGATGTGATGTTTGTCCCATCCTCTGGAGGCAGTGCCACACAGTGGACACCGTGAGAGGTGTGGAGCTGAGCGGCTCGGTGGGGGTGGTGGGGTAGCTGGGATTTTTTTTTTTTTAAGTATAAAATTAAGGGCTTTTCCCTTATTAAACAAGTAAATGGTGTTTATTACCGAAAATTCAAAAATTACAGGAAAAATTTTTAAATTCTCACAGCCCACCATCTGGAGGCAAACTCCAAAATTTTAAATGTATTTTTTCCTAGAAAATTTTACATATGCATATGGGCATGTTTTATGCTGAATAGACTTTTTACTTTAAATTAGTATCGAAACATGCCCTAGTGTAATTAGTATTCTTTGTAATCATTATATTTAAAATATTGTCCATTAAATGGGCAAGCCAGAATTTGTTTAACTGTTTCCTTACTGTTAAACACTTAGCATCTAGGTTGTTAATAGATTTTCATTAATTTTGTGAGCATATTTGGACATATTCGTTAATCTTTTGGAGCCACAGATTTGACTTCTTCTATATCTTGGGAATTATCTCTCTTACAGTGTTATTGACAGAAATGAATAAGGTAATAAATGATAAATAGTGAGTACTTACTAAATGTGGGGCCTGTTTCCCTTAGGTTTGGCCTTAATAGTGTTGTTTTAAAAATCGGTGAATTGATGTCTATACACATTAACTCACTAATGTTTTTAAAATGGTAATTACAAAAATGTAAAATTTCTTACTTTGTACAAAAGAGAAGGGTCCTGAAAAGTTGCTTTAGGTCCAGTTTTGCAGACTGAAAACTAATTATCTTTAAATTATTTGGTTCCCAAACCACTGAGAAGCTTTTTTTCCACTATATTTTTATAGAAATTTCAAACATGCCGCAAAATAAGGAGAAATAAATAGTAAAATCTACTCTGTTTTTATAATGTAATATTTCTGCATAAATGCAAAATTATTCTATTGGTTCTTTTGTTTTAAGCCCATTTCCTCATAGCACCATCAGTGTTGAAAATTTGTTTCCTCCATGTTCAGTTCCACTTTCCTGTCCTATACATACCGAGCAATCATAGCAGCTATCCTTTCATTGTTCAGCCAACTCTTTTGCTCAAACAATTATATTTATTAAAATAACAAAATTGATTTCCTGTCTATAAAAACAGGCATTTTGAAATCTATATTCTTCTCGGTCAAAGGTTGTGTCAATAAAATACTCAGTAAAGTGGAGATTTGGAAATCATCCAATTAATTTGATCAATAGACAAACTCAATATGTTAAATCGTAAAGGTTTTTTCCTCTTCTGAATTACTGTCTGCAGACTACATTGATAACAATTAGCCAGATAATCACCACATCTCATTTCTACTTGCGTTCCATGGTTCACTCCTCAGTGTTATGAGCCATTGGTAGACATGGCAGGTTTTCTCAAATTGTGACCCTTTCTCTACTGCTAGTGGTCAGTGGAGAAGTAAAGCAATTTTAAGGAAATGTGTGCTTTAACTGAATTATAGCTAATTAATAAACAACTTTGAGTATAAGAATATGCCAAGTAATATGAATGTTTTAGATCACATTAATAATCATATACAATTTTGACTTTAACATTTCCAAATGCAGAGATTTACTGGATAATTTTTGAAACATCTCTTTCACTTGTTTTTAAACTTTACCTTGTTTAAGATTTTAGTAGAAATGTAAAGAAATGAACAGCAGATCAATTTAAAATGTTGAACTGATTTTACAGCTATAGCAATAACCAGAAATTGATCCATTCCATTCTTCCAGAACAGTCTACAAATAAGAAGCAAAAGAGTGAAGGAAGGGCTTTTTTACATGAATCCATGACACTGTGTGATTATTTTACACATTAAGCTGATTTGTAACTGTTAAAAGAATTGACCCATTTTCAGAAAATAAGAGTACCTAGCAAATATAAGGAAATCCAATATAAACTTTCTGGACCTATTAATGTGCTGACTAGCTTTGGATGCTCTCCTAATTACTTCTTAATGTTTTGCACAAGTCATCAAAACCTGCTAATACATCTGTCAAGAAGGCGATTGGCTATGTATATATACAAATATATATCTGTTTAAGATATAGGTAAAACACACAAATATGGATTATATGATAGTATGCACCCTTTAATACCATGTTATGTACTTTTATAAAACTACTGGAATTTGTGCAGTACACATAATTGTTTTTTAACATTTCGGTCCAATTTTTGGCCTATTTTCTGTTTTTACATTTCTGATTTGTGCTGGAATTATGTCCAAAATACCATGTGAATCTTCCATCTGTTCTCTTTTAAACTTAAAAGTAGTTTTTCTTAATGGTATTTAGACCCCATTAAGTCATACAGGTATCTTATTTTCTTATTTTTAAAGTGGCTGCCTCATAAATATACATAAGTCAAAGTTTAATTGGTCTGGCTGGTAGGTACTACCACAAGGATCTTTTTAAACCATTAACTAAACAGGGAATAAGCTCTTCTTTACATTGTCTTATTCTAAGATGAGATACAAAATCAACTTTGATATTTATAGAAAATACTTTTGAATAACAAATATTTTCCATTTTAACTTTTGGCCTGTTTATAGTGCTAAAAAAAAAAGCTATCTGGAATCATTAAAATTTAGGGAGAAAGTAAAGGTTTTTGTAATTATTAGAATTATTCCATTAAAAATAATGAAATAGAAGTATTTGAGTATTCAAAATGTTACCCAAAATACTGAACTAAGAAAAAATTACAATAGATAATTAGATTTAAGATTGAATTTAAACATCAGATTTACTACTAATATGCATTGAAATAAGAACTGTAGGTAAATAGGTCAAAGACAAGGCAGAAAAGCAAAAACCACACTAGGTATTGCTGATAGAGGATACTGAATAGGGATGATTAGTTACATGGGTATGGAAATTCTGAAAAAGCAAAGAAGGAAAGGTGACAACAAGAGCTCAAAAGCATAGGAAGATGTCAGCAGCTTTTAGGCTAGGGAAATGAAATGGAAGTGGTAATGTTATCAGAAAGCAGAAGATTGAAAAGGAGAAGCCACTATAGGATTGGTGCTTGAAACTGTGAGACTGGACTCACGACTACTTCTGAGGGAAATGCCCACAGCGGGGATGGGGATCTCTAAGAGATACCTCCCCATGGATGCTCAGTCTGCAACATATTAGAGCACAGCTGGTTTTTAGGAGGCAGAGAGTGGGGTGGTTGGAGGCACAACTGGAGCATCAGCCACTGAGCAGGCATGGCATAGTTGGTGCTCAGATCACTGAAAGGCATGGACCAGGTCATGATGAGAACACCAGGTGAAACAGGAAATGAGAGCCTTCACTGTCTTTTGCTTCTGGAAACCCAAATGGAAAATGACCCTGCAGTGCCTCATGCCCACAAACAGGGAGCCAATTCAACTCATATTGAGTCTAGCAAATGCATTTTACACCACAGCACAAAATGCAGAAGGATGGGCTTTAGCAGAGAAAACAATAGATAAATAACAAGAAAATCCAAAGAGGAATCTGATTGGTCTCTTGCCTTCAAGGAGTACATTCTCAAAACACATCTGGTTGTAACACGTGTGAGAATAGTCCAGACAAACATGAAAAGAACAATGCTAAGGATTTCCTCTACTTGATAGCAAATTATATTTAAAACCTACAGTTAAAATAGTACAGTAAAAGCATACCAACAGACAACTAGAGTTAAGGAGTAAGTCCAGAAACACACACACACACACACACATGCACACATATACACATTTGCTTAAGATTAAAATGGCATTTTAAATGAATTTGACAAATAGGTTAACAATTCAAAGAATCTTGTTGGGACAATTGGTTTTTCACTGAAGGAAAAATAAATAAATTTTTACAACACACTGCAAACACATACACAAAATTCTATATGACTTTCTGATCTAAATATAAAATAAGAATTTGTTTAAAGTAAGCAAAAGTGAACACATGATAATCTTTGGATCAGAAAGGTCTTATTAAACAAGAAATAAAATATAAACAAAAAAATGTATATATTTGACTACATCGCAATAAGAAAAAAAAAATTGTCAGGACACTGTAGCAAACTGCTTTAGAAGCCAGGAGCGGGAGTCAATGATTCTGCTGAGAATCTTGGCTGAGACTTTATCCCTTTGAGGCCCCCTTTCCACATATAATAAGGCTTTAATAGCATCTACTTCAAAGGTTCATTCTGGTGATTAAATAAAATAATCCATGTGAAGTGCTTAGCACATTGCCTGATACATGGTAAGCAATTAGTGATAACTAAACAACTTCCATTTTCCTATTGAGCTACTAAAATTAATTTCAAAGATAAATTGCTATAAAAGTTATTATGTTTAATTTTCTTTGGAATTTCTTACACTTATTTTGCATACACTATTCAGGGACTAATCCAAGAAGACACTCTTTTTACATGTGTAGTAGAATTTTATCTTTATATTTTGATCAACTCCAAATCAAACATTTTATTTTTAACCTAAACACCATAGTTGTATTGAATTGTCTCTGTGACTTTATGCTTTTGTGACTTAAAAAATAATTTATGGAAATAAATACACAAAGTACTCTGATTTCTGATTACTTAGTAAAAATACTTCTTTTTATTAAACACAGAATGGAGTCTCACTCAAAATGCTGGTCACTGCACAGAAGCAAAGACTGGAATCATTTTCAGAGAAGTAAGAATTTCAAAGTGTCCCAAATATGTCAGCACAGTGAATTAAACCCTTTTTATGAGAAAGATATTATATTAATTCCTACATGAAAATAAAGAGAGACACAACTATAACAAAACTAATATTTATTGTGTACACTGTTCTACATGCTTGGTATATTAACTTTATTGACTGTTTAAATCCTCCCAACACTATGAAAGTGATGTTACTGTCATTTTCACTTTATAGATGAGGAACAGGTGGCCTGAAGAAGTTAAGTACCTTGAAGGAAATCACAAGCAAGAAGGTAGCGGAGGCCGGAATATTTTTTTCTTTTTGAGATGGAGTCTCACTCTGTCATTCAGGCTGGAGTGCCTGATGCGATCATGGTTCACTGCAGCCTCAATCTCCCTGGCTCAAGCAATCCTCCCACCTCGGCCTCCCAAGTGACTGGGACTACAGGCACACATCACCACACCTGAATAATTTTTGCATTTTTGTAGAAGCTAGAATTTAACAAAGGCTGTTTAACTCCATAAATGGTGACTTTTACTCATGACGCAATATTGGTAATTTTGGAGTCTGTTGTTGCTGTTTCCTTTTCATAGTTATTGTGGAGATAAGGCAGAACTGCCTGCAGTGTTGCCCCAGAAGTAAATCATCCTCTTTGATGTATGATTTTTGAGAAAATACCTGAGATACTGATTTTGAGAAAATATCAGAGATAATCTAAATGTTCTTCAACCAAATGTCTATAGTACTTGTACTGGGAATTTATTTCTTGGTATGCCAAATTGGCGTCATCTACCAACTACTAATGAACTATAAATAATATCTCCAGGAAAGGTGACAGAATAAGTCATATCAACTTTTGTCTACACATTCGAACAAACAGAAGCCAAATTTGGAGGAGGTAAATATGGAGTGAATACATTCACAAATGAAAGAGTACTTCCTTGCTATACACAGACTTTACCAATAGCACAGTTTATTGAATAGCTAATAATCTCCATAACATTTGCAGGTACAAGAAGCCATGGTGACAGCTAAGCCTATCTTTGTGATGACACAGGAAATTGGCTACTCAGATACTGCCTTTATTTATTCAACAGTGATTTACTGTTCCTATAAAGTACAAACTTTTGTGGTGCGTTCCTTGCATGAACTTATACTCCCATACAAAAAGATCATGGTCCCACCTTTAACTACTGTCTTCATCTGTTTGTGCTACTATAACAAGAAACCTAAGAGTGGGCAGTCTATCTTTTAAAAAATAGAAATTTATTTCTCACAGATCTGGAGGCTGGGAAGTGCAAGATAAAGGTGCCAGCGGGTTCAGTGACTGGTGAAGTCCTGTTCCTTATAGATGGTGCCAAGTAGCTGTCATCACATAGCAGAAGGGATTTAAAGAAATGCAAACTCCTTTCATCAAGCCCACTTACAAAAGCATCTAATCCCATTCATGAGAGCAAAGCCTGCATGACCCAATCATCTCCTAAAAGCCACACTTCTTAGTACTGTTATATTGGAGATTAAGTTCAAACATGAATTTTAGAAGGGATAAAAACATTCCAACCATGGCACTCTTCCGCTGGATCCCCAATTAAATTAAATTAATTAATTAATTGCATTAATTAATCCAAAATCAATTAATGAGTCCAAAGTCTCATCTACACGTCATCTAAATCAGTTACAGGTGAGACTCAAAGCTTTGTGTCATTCATATAAGGCAAATTGCTATCTAGCTGAGAGCCTGTTAAATCAAACAAGTTGTGTGCTTCCAAAATACAACAGAGGAACAGGCATAGGATAGCCATTTCCATTCCAAAAAGAAGAAATTGGAAAAAGAAGGAAATAATAGATCCCTATAAAGGTCAAAACTCAACAGGGCAAATATTAAATCTCAAGGTCTGAGAATAATCTTTTTTAACTCCAGTGCCCCATCTTCTGGGTTGGACCTCCACATCCCTAGGAGTTCCATCCCCAGGGCTTTGCTGAGAATAGCACATGACACAGCTCATACTGGTTGGAGTCTTGTGCCTTCAATCTCTCCCAGGCTGGAGTTGCTGGCTGGTGGCTCTACAGTTTTGAAATTTTGTGAGTGGCCCTTCCCTCATGGTTTCAAGAAGCATTGCCCTACTAAGGGCTCTCTGTGGCATCTTTGGAATCTAGGTGAAGGTAGCCATGCCTGCACAGCTCGTGTACCCTGTGAGCATGCAGAATCAGCACCGTGTGAACACTACCTCAGTTCATGGTCTCTATATCCCTGGGCCCACTTGAGCTACAACTTGGGCAACCAAGGAGCCCTGTACCAGACTGCAGGGAGCAGAGACTTAAGGCAGTCCTGGGAATTGATCTCTGAGGTTCTATAAACTCCCTGAGCCCCTCTCTTATAATAATTCTGCCCTAAAAGTCCCAGCACTCTGGGCCTGTGATGAGACTGGCAGTCCCAAAAATCTCTAGAAGGCCTTCCAGGGCTTCCCTCTATTCATACTAATCTTCTTATCTGTGGGCTGTTTGGATACAACCTTGGTTTACTTTCCTTAACACATTCTTTTAGACTTTACATGGCCAGGCTGAGAGTTTTCCAAATCTTAATATTCTGCTTTCCTTTTTCTTTTAAATTCTGTCTTTAACTTACTTCTCTCTTGAATTTTACAATAAGCAGTTGAGAGAAGCCATGTAGTTCGCTGAATACTTTGCTCAGAGATTTCTTCTACTGAATATCCTAGTTTATTGCTCTTAAATTCGGCCTTCCACAAAACATGAATGAGAGAATGTGCTCTCTTTCCAGGTCCACAAGGGGGCGTAGTTTTAAGGGCAAGAACTTCCTAGTGCCATGCCCTCCTCCCATCTCTCTCCATCTGGGAGATTTAACGGTTTATGTTTAAATTTTGTGGGCGTGGGAAGAAACTAAGAGTCACTCCAGCGGAAGTTCTAAGGAACTCCTTTCATTGGCCTGGGGTCTTAGAGAAGGTGGGGCTCCCTCCCAGCTTAAAAGTCCCCTTCTTTCACACTCCTTCAGACTCCATGTTTGGGTCCCCTTCCACGAACACTCCCTTTGTGGAAGCCATCTTTCTCTCTTCTGGATATCCCCTCTGGGATCCCCTTCCACACTGTCTTGTGGAAGCCTGTTTTCCCCTCTTAAACTCCATCTCTCTCTCTATTCTCTTCCACTCATTGTGGGAGATGCTTTTCTTTCCTAGATTCCATCTTTCTGGATTCTCTCACTTAGTGTGAGAGTTAGCTGTTTCTTTCTCTCTCCTTCTCCTGTTTCTCTCTCTCTTTAAATAAATCACTTTCTACAAACACTTTTGAGTCTGGCATTTACTGGGCACTGCGCCATGGTCCCCTTTCTCATTCTTGAGAGGGCAGGAGACCAAGAACCTGGAGAAACGTCCTCTCAGGGGAGTTGAGGGCACCCTGAACCCCTGAACCCCAATATTAAATTAGGACATGGACACAATTCAGCCAACTTCTTTGCCACTTTGTAAGGATGGTCTTTCCTCCAGTTTCCAGCAAAATATCCCTCATTTTCATTTAAAACACCATGTGAATGATCTTTACTGTCCATATTTCTACCAATGTTCTGTTCACAACCACTTAGGTATCTCTAAGACTGAGGCTTTTTCTGCCCTTCTCCTTTCCTTCTGAGCCCTCATCGAATCACACTTCATGCTCTGTTAATGGCAATGCAGACTCTTTCCAGCATTTACTTCGAAACTGTTTCAGCCTCTACCCATTACCATGTTCCAAAGCCACATCCACATTTTTAGGTATTTGTTATAACAACAGCATCATTTTTCTTGTATCAATTTCTTTCTTCGTCAATTTCTTCTGTTCTAATAAAATACTCAAGACTGGGTATTTTATGAAGAATGATATATACCAGATTTCCATATTGATGGACATATATTACATAGGATAATCACCCAGTACATATTATATAATTCATTAATTTGTATAAATAAGTGAACAGATAAGATCAAAAACTAGGAATATATATGCAAACATATAATTCTTTATAAATATATAGTTGACCCCTGAACAACATAAGTTTGAACTGCACAGGTCCACTTACACATGGATTTTCTTCCACCTCTGCCACCCTTGAGATAGTAAGACCAACCCTTCTTCTTCCTCCATCTCCTCAACCTACTCAATGTGAAGATGATGAGGATAAAGATTTTTTTTTTTTAGTTAAAAAAAATTGTATAGAAGGAGTCTCACTATGTTTCCCAGGCTGGTCTTGAACTCCAGGCCTCAAGCAATTTTCCCATCTCAGTCTCCCAAAGTGCTGGGATTACAGATGTGAGCCATTGTGCCCAGCTTGAAGGTCTTTATGAAGACTCACTTCTGCTTAATGAATAGTAAATATATTTTCTCTTCCTTATAACTCTCTAACATTTTCTTTTCTCTAGATTACTTTATTATAGGAATATAGTATATAATACATACAACATACAAAATATGTGTTAATCAGTTGTTTAGGTTATCCGTAAGGCTTCTGATCAACAACAGGCTACTAGGTAAGTTTCTGAAAGGTCAAAATTAAACATAAATTTTTGACTGTGTGGAGGGTCAGCATTTTTAACCCCTATATTGTTCAAGGGTCAACCATGTATGTGTAACTGTGTGTGTGTGTGTGTGCGTGCGTGTGTGTGTGTGTGTGTGCACATATATAATCTCAACCCTGTATACATAGTACTAATTATAGTTTTAACATTGCACAAGATATAATCCAGAATATTCTCATCACTCCCCTAAAAAATCCCACCTTTTATTCAAAAGCTGTCACTCCTCACTCCTTCTCCTCACAGGCTCTGGTGACCATTAATCTACTTCTTTCTCTATGGAGATTTACATATTCTGGATATTTCATATAAATGAAATCACAACACATGGCCTTTTATTCTGCCTTCTTTCACATAGTATAATATTTGGAAATGTCCATGTTGTAGCACGTATCAATACGTCATTTCTTTTTATGGATGAATAATGTTGCATGGTTGCCACGTTTTGCTGGTTCATTTATCAGTTGATTGACATTTGAGTTGTTTCCACCTTTTGGCTATCATGAATAGTGCTTCTATGAACATTTACGTACAAGTTTTTGTGTGAACATATGTTTTCCATTCTCTTGACTATATACCTTGGAGTGATATTTCTGGGCTGTATGATAACACTATGTTTATCTTGTGAGAAACTGACAAAATGTTTTCCAAAGCAGTTGAATTATTTTACATTTTTACGCAACATGTATGAGAGTTTTGATTTCTCCACATCCTTGTCAATACTTGTTCATCTTTTTCATTATAGTCATCCTAGT